GTTATCTCCGTAGAAAACATATTCTGCAGTTCGAAGAAATAGTGAAAAAAGTGGATTCCGTATTCTAATCCGTAGTATACGTATTCTAATTTCGGTAGAACAGATATATGAAATTATTATTTACATATTTTTAAAACAGGAAAAAATATCACTATATAGATATAGATATTTCATCATTATGTACTATTTTTTTAAAAAAAATGCTTCATAAATCTATTTTTTTAATTATTTCGGAAATACATAAAGGGCATTAGAGTCAAAATTGATACAAAATATAATTTATACTAAAGGGACAATATCCAAACCTATTTGGTCTAAAAAAAAAGTTTCCCCTTTTTTTCTTTTGTAGAACTAGACGAACGTTTTCTCCATATCTGAGAAATCAAACCGAAACCATCCAAAAATATATAACCCAGAAAACAGAAAATTTATATGAAAATTCTATGAATTTACGAAAAAATCAAAATTGAAAATCCCAATAGATCCATATCCGAAAAGAACCAATCCAAATAGATCAAACCTAATAAAAACCGATTCATACCGATTTACAAATCTAAACTTTCAATTTTATTTTGTTTTTATATATATATATATATTAGTTTATAATTTATTTGAATATCTTTTTATTAGTAATCTTTATTATTATTTTTGTTATATATTCAAGTAATATAAAATTTTAAATATCATAATTAAATTTTTAGAAATATTTAATTTTGATTATTAATAATCTATTTTGTGCTATCTTACAAAACTTAAAAAAAATATATATATTTCGATAAATTTTTGATGGAATTTAGACATTTTGGATCTTTCAAGATCTTAGATACATGAACCCATTACGGACCCAAAAATCACATCTTTTATAGGTATATAAATCATAGATATATACCGACCCAAACTCGAGAGTAACATATCTGAACCTGGACCCAAAAAATTTAAGTATGTAGTTAGATCCAAATATCTAAAATCCAAATGTTCTAGATATAAAAGTTTGACCCAAACCCGATTCGAAGGTCCATTTGTCTACAAACTTTTACTTTGAAAATCCACAAGAGAAAAAAAAAAAATGAAGAACATTTGTAGTCATTTTTCAACAACAATGAAGTTTCAAGCAGATTCAATATAAACTTTGTTAACAATTTAATACTTTCATTTGTTTCAAAATAATGCATATTTTAGATATTAGTCATATTACTAACACATATTAAATCATAATTATAAATGCATAATTTTTTTGTAATGATCTTTTTTTTTTGTCAGCAATTATCAATTTTTATTACAAATAAATAGCATAATTTAACCCAAAAATGCATTAAAATATAAAAATGCATTTAAAAAAAAATTCTGTATATTTTAAAATACATACATTTTTTTGAGACAGATGGATATATATGGAAGAGAAGGCTTTTATAAAGTTCTGTGTTGAGATCGATTTGGTTTAAATTTGAGATACTACAAGTATAAAAACAACTTCAATTTAATTGAACTGATGAAAACACATAGAAAATGTTGGATGTGTTTTCTCTACACAAGTAGAAACCAAGAGACCATGAAGTTGAGATATTACACAATACATCAAGCTCCATGACATGTATCTTCTATAAAACTCATGCTACAGATATCTACACAAGTAACAAGCTCTAATCTTAACAAACACTATTCCACACACAACAACAAAAAAGAGGGGAGGGGAGAATATAAAGTTAACATCTTAAGAATCTTCTGTGTCGCTTTGAGAATCCACGATCCTTCTTCTGAAAAACTATGGACAAAGAGAACTTTTCAGAAGAGCGATGCTTACGTTGTAGGACAAATTTGCCGTGTTTATACTTCTGAGCTTCCTCATGCGCTGATTCCTAACAAACAAACTAAGAAATAATGTGAAAAAAATGAGAAATCTCTCCCAAAAACGTGGAAATGAGGCTAAAGAGAGATATAAAAGCAAGTTACGTGAGACTTGCGTATTTCCAACCAACATTTTGTCCGCAGCAGCAGCATACATACCCGAAAGCATCATCCTTTCCTCTAAAGAACCCATACCTATGTTGGAATCAGCTCTACAATGTATCCAAGCCCACTTCTACTTACAGTCCTACGTATAGGGAAAATGGAAATGGAGGGATGAGCAATTGGGATTACTCAGTGAAGTGACTCTAGACCAGCATGTCCGCATGATAGTCCACGCTACAGAAAACAGGACCGGCTAGACACTACTATCAATATGCATCATACCAGCCATACAATAATGGTTTGAACATAGAATTCTAGCACTCTAATGTTCATACACCGCAAGGACTCAGCCAATGCTTCACATAGACTCAATCACACAATCATCCTTTTACTTAGACTCACCAATCAACCTAGACCTATAGGAGCTACGGCCGTTTACGGATATCCCTACACGTTATGGCCTAACTTGAAAGGGGTGCCCTCTCTAGGGAATCCATTTCCCCTCCCCCTCAGCTTCCTAAGAAACCACCCGCGGGGAGCTCGTTGGCCCACCTGCAGCTCCTACTGGCCCATGTGCAGCACTGTCCACCCGCAGCTCCCGCCACATACACGGTCAGATGGTCACATTTTGCCACGACTCGGCATTAAATCAATCTTAAGGTGCCTATAATTACCTTTACCCCGCCTTGGCGGTCATTGTCCCACGGGTACCTCTTGTTAGGCTACTGTCCCGTGGGCTAACACATCTTAGACTCTAGACGCCCACCCGTTCTCAGTGGTCCAAATAAGACTTCAAACAAGTTCATTGACTCGACTACTTTCTTATTCTCATCCTCTTTTCTCATTCACGTTCACCTTACTCTTTTACTTTCACTTTACTCTTTCACTTTCCCTTTAACGTTCACTTTCACTTCAACGTTCACTCCCACTTTAACGTTCACTTTCACTTTCACTCATTCATTAACACTTAGACTCCTTCTTACACACTAGACGCCACCCGTTCTCATTGTCTCACGCAATACACTTCACATAGCATTGATATCAAATGGCATATCATTATCATATATCTATCTATCCCATATCACATGTACGTCTATCACCTTAGTTACCAATTGATATACTTTACATTCATGAGTCATTATACCATTCACTTCTCTTTAGCAATCTAGTTTTCATTCACAATCATCATATGGGACAACAAACCACTCACACAAACATTCATAACAATCATTATCCACATCAATACAAGGCATTCCATTAAGTCTCATTTAACAGTGTGAAGGTTCTTATGCATCATGATTCATTCATCTATCAACCTAACTCCCATTATGATCTATCATCCTAACTTTCAAGCAAGGACTATCCAAACCCTAATTTCACCATCAACTATAATAGAGGTTATGAGAACAGATTTGGGTCGAATCACCTCACCTTAACAATAAATCTAAGATCTGGAACAAAAGAAAGGAAGAATGTGAGATCTGATCGCTGCTACACCACCACCACCACCACCTCGCGCACGGAGAAGAGAGAGAGAGGAAGGAGAAGTCGGTAAGGAAAGATAAAGAAGATAGAGAGAGAGGCGCGCGGAGAGAGAGGAGAGAGAGAGAGAGGCGGCGCAAGAGAGAGAAGAAGGCTGACGGCTAGGGCTTTCGGTCTCCAGGAATACTCTGCAGGGCTCCGCTTCCAGTTTGCAAATAAGACAAAAGAAGGAGGAGGCAGCTCTTTATATAAGTTGAAGGGAGGCAAACTTAGGTTTTTGCCCTAATGGGCCGTAGACAGGCCCTAATGGGCCGTAGACAGGCCCATGTGCCTTAAGAAAACTTATGGGCCATGTCATGGGTTGTTACAATCTCCCTCACTTAATAGAATTCGTCCCCGAATTCTGTGTGCCAAGAACTCAACCCATATACATCCTAACCAACGTGGACATCCCGCGTCCCTTGTTCATTAAAGGTTTCAGTAACACCTCGGCACACTAACCTTATGGAGGTCCCACACCCCTTGAATCTTCTGTCCACTCCTTCTAGAGTTGACCTTTCCTTGCCGTTCACCAACTTCACCCATACTCTTCCTTATAGTCCCGGTGAGACGTATTCTCGCGACTGGTTTTTGTATGTCATCTGGGGTTCTACTACAATCTTTTACTCGTCCAGCTTGTGATGTCGTCGTGAAGTCCTGAAACTTCCATTGTGGTGTGATGCGGGCTTGTCACCATGCTTCCGCTGCGCTACTCTGATTTTCCCTTGATCCCCATGGTCTTTGGTCCAGGCATCTCCATCCGTGGAATCAATCATCCCCATGTGACCTTTGATCCAACTTAGCAGCCGCCTTGTGCTCCTCCTAGTCCTTATCGGCTATTCTACTTTCCTCGTGGTTCCATAGGTTCTTTTCAACTTTGTCCTTAGCTCTCCTCCACTTCGATCAAGCATACCTGGTTCCTATTAACTTCCTTTGTAGTTCTTGTACCCGTAACCTTTCTCCCATTTCATCACACGGGCATACGACCCAAGTCGGATAACCCACTTTGGCGATCTCTTACTCAAGCTCTATCGTGGCTACATCTCATTCCCATCGAGGTACTTATAATCTCTGAAACAACTCTATTCAGGTCCATTAATAGAACTTCCGAATGGTAACACTTGGTCTTATCATGTCTGTTCGAGTCCAGACTCCAATTACTCGGTCCTAACTCAAGTATCTTGCTTTGTCACACATCATTCACGAATGACACACAGGACTAGAGTAACTTTGCTCATGATCTTTTACAAAAAACAGTGAATGAATCCAATAAATAAAATGGAGTAGGACTACAATAGTTTAGGAAAAAATCAAGGCATCCGTACAATCACAGAGTGCTTATAAAAATGGAAAAACACCAAAACCAGCAACGAACGCGTGTCCTAATCCTACGAAATGATCCTAGGAACTCAACCAGCCACAGTGAGGGGAAGGAACACGGTCGGCCTCGGGTTCGAACCATCCACACCGCCATCTTCTATCGCCGGCTACGGGTCTTCGTCGTCCTCGGTGGAGCAGTCACATTCGGCTCATGCGTTCTTCTTTGCCAACAACTCCTCTGCATCAAATGCCAAACCAGCTAACCCTTTCACTAATGAAAACTCCAGGGGCTCCAGGACACCAGCGAGTTCATCCTGAATGTCACCGCGAAGTCCCGCCTTGAATATCCGACACCACTCTTCTGTAGGCTTTGGTTGGCACTTCTTTTTCGTCTCCAATAACTCATCCAAGTAATCCTTCACCTTGCGTGGATTCTGCACCATCTGCACCAGCACATCACAATCACAGTCACCAGATGCTGAGGTAGATTTCCTCGGTCGCCCCCGTTTCTTCTTAGGAGGTTCTTTGCCTGACGCCCCCAGGTCACCGTCGCCCCTCCCCAAGTCTTTCTCAGCGTTCCCCTTTTCTGATCTTGCGATGGCGGTCAACTCAGCTGTGATCTTCTCCTCTGCTTCGATCGCAAAGCCGACCATCTGTTTCACTAGGGCGAACTCCAAAGGTTCCAGGATCCCTTTCAATTGGGCTTTGAGGTTTCCACGAAGCTCGTCTCTTTACCATCCGCACCACATTTCTGCCGTATTTGATTACACAACTTAGCTTGATTGATGAAGTCTTCGGTGTATCCCACCACTGATCTATCTCCCTGGGTATTATGGGACAACGTCTAGCACTGACACTTCCCGGTGAATACTCTCGGAGGCTCCCCTGCTGCACTCGACGGCCTGCTCGGGCGACAACGCTTCCTTGGGAGCTTCCCCTCGGGTGAAAGCTGGAACGTCGCGTGACCTTGCAGTATGCGCCTCTCCATAGCCATCCTTTGAATATGGGGCATCAACATCTTGCGTCTCACAGTCTACTCATTAGGGTACCCAAACGGAAATTCCCTGTACTGCTCCTCTGGTTCCAGGAACATGGGCAACACCCCTGCATCCGGGTGGCGCCTACGGGCGTAATCCCGAGTATTCCTCGGTCCATAGTGCATGCGCGACCTCCTCTACTCGTAATGATCCAGCGGAAAACATCATGTAATAAAGATCCAATCAGAACCATAATAGGAATATAGACACATTGGGTGGTTTGAAATAATCCGCATCTTTGAAAATACTTAAATACTTTTCTCAAACTTCTTTTTAAAAAAATACAAAACCGAGAACTTCTGAAAACATTGGACTGCCAGCCCCTTAGAATAATACTAAGGGATCCTAACCCCCGCTCTGATACCAAATGTAACAACTTGTTCCCCCGGCGTCCGACCGAGGTTCAGAAAACGGGTGCTATGGACACGTGTCTACTCAATTAGACAGCCCTACGTGTCTCTTACCGATCCCATGAGTCGGCGGACACGTCTTTTAATGAAATCCAATCCACCCATATCCACATACTTATACTTACAGTCATGCGTATAGGAGAAACGGAAATAGAGGGATGAGCAATTGGTCTTACTCAGTGAAGTGACTCTAGACCAGCATGTCCGCATGATACTCTACGCTACCTCATACGAAAACCAGGACCGGCTAGCTACTACTATCAATATGAATCATACCAGCCATACAACAACAGTTTGAACATAGAATTTTAGCACCCTAACGATCATACACCGCAAGGACTCAGCTAATGCTTCACATAGACTCAATCACACAATCATCCTTTTACTTAGACTCACCAATCAACCTAAACCTACAGCCATTTACGGATGTCCCTACACGTTTCAGTCTAACCTGAAAGAGGTGCCCTCTCTAGGGAATCCATTTTCTCCCCCTCAACTTCCTAAGTAACCACCCGCGGGGAGCTCATTGGCCCACGTGCAGCTCCTGATGGCTCACGTGCAGCACTGTCCACCCATGGCTCTCGCCACGCACACGGTCAGATGGTCACATTTTAACACGACTCGGCATTGACTCGATCTTAAGGCGATTATATCTACCTTTACCCCGCCTTGGCGGTCACCTTCCGTACATGGCCTTTCACTTTCCGCCCACGGGTACCTCTTGTTTGGCTATTGTCCCGTGGGCTAAGACATCCTAGACTCTAGACGCCCACCCGTTCTCGGTGGTCCAAACAAGACTTCAAACAAGTTCATTGACTCGGCTACTTTCTTATTCTCATCCTCTTTTCTCATTCACGTTCACCTTACTCTTGTACTTTCACTTTACTCTTTCACTTTCCCTTTAACGTTCACTTTCACTTCAACGTTCACTCCCACTTTAACGTTCACTTTCAATTTCACTCATTCATTAACACTTACTCTCCTTCTTACACACTAGACGGCACCCGTTCTCGGTGTCTCACGCAATACACTTTATATAGCATTGATATCAAATGGCATCCAAATATCATATATCTATCTATCCCATATCACATGTACGTCTATCACCTTAGTTACCAATTGATATACTTTACATTCATGAGTCATTATATAATTCACTTCTCTTTAGCAATCTAGTTTCCATTCACAATCATCATATGGGACAACAAACCAATCACACAAACATTCATAACAATCATTATTCACATCAACACAAGGCATTCCATTAAGTCCCATTTAACAATGTGAAGGTTCTTATGCATCATGATCCATTCATCTATCAACCTAATTCTCATTATGATATATCATCCTAACTTTCAAGCAAGTACTATCCAAACTCTAATTCCACTATCAACTAGAATAGAGGTTATGAGAACAGATGTCGGTCGAATCACATCACCTTAGCAATAAATCTAAGATCTGGAACAAAAGAAAGGAAGAAGGTAAGATCTGATCGCTGCTACACCACCACCATCACCACCATCTCACGCACGGAGAGGAGAGAGAGAGGAAGGAGAAGCTGGCGAGGATAGAGAGGCACGCGGAGAGGGAAGAGAGAGAGAGAGAGAGAGAGAGAGAGAGAGAGAGAGAGAGAGAGAGAGAGAGAGAGAGAGAGAGAG